ATTAATGAGCTAGTCAAGTAGAGGCATACTACTGACTATATGTTTGTCTATGTATTCACACATGTATCATGTTTCCGGTTAATACAATTCTAGCATGAATAATAAACATTTATCATGATATGAGGAAATAAATAATAACTTTATTATTGCCTCTAGGGCATATTTCCTTCACCAACTCCTTCAACTCCATCTACATCAACTGAAGTCTTCGTCCAAGGAGCCATCTCTACACCACCAACAGAAGACCAAGCCTGAGAGACGAAATAGTACTATGCATTTTCTAGGAACTTTTTGGTAACTTGTTGCCAAAGGGGGAGAAAAATGTATAGATCATAGGCTTCGAGAGAGAGAGTTTGCTTTTGTTCTCTCTTGTCTTCGTGGTTGAACTTTGTATGCTTTTGCTTGCTTGAGATACTATGCTATTATCTGTGAGACATTGATGATCATGTGTTTGATCATAAGCTACACTTATGCTTGTTGGATGATATTATCTCATTTATCTTTGTATGATCATTCACTTTGCTTGGTGATGAGTGCATGTATTCAATCTCTATTATTTTGAGCGCTCCACCAAGATGTATGTGACATGGAAGAGTAACCCATGAGCCTAATTCCTTGTGCATTTGCAGTCCAAAGCAAATCTTAAACCATGCACAAATTTAGGGGGAGCTCTTGCTTATCACACACTTCTCAAAGCGATGATGTTTTTCAATCTTATTATCATTTGTCGAAGCTTTGATCTATATGTTGTCATCAATTACCAAAAAGGGGGAGATTGAAAGTGCAACTATCCCTAGGTGGTTTTGGTAATTCATAACAACATATAGCTCATTGAGCTAATACTATTCCAAGACAAATATTTCAGGAAAGCTCAATGAATGGCATGGCATGGATGACGAAAGTGGATCCCTCAAAAGGATAAAAGGATTGGCTCAAGCTCAAAAGCTCAAGACTCTTCATTTTATATTTTAGTGATCCAAGATCACATTGAGTCTATAGGAAAAGCCAATACTATCAAGGAGGGATGAGGTGTTTCTTAATGAGTTTCTTGCTTCAAGTGCTTAGTGATATGCTCCAAAAACCCTCAACTACTTCCTCATATCCACATATGACCTAAACCTAAAGTCAAACTCGGCCCCACCGATTCTTTCTATCCGGCGCCACCGAGTTCAGATGTCATAGCCACTGCCACAAACAATAGGCAAATCGGTCTCACCGATAGGGATCTCGGTCTCACCGAGATGGGATTGTAATCTCTCTGTTTCCCTTCGTAACGTTTCGGTCTAATCGAAGTGAGGATCGGTCCCACTGAGATTGCAATGTAAACTCTCTGTTTCCTTTTCGTAACATTTCGGTCTCACCGAAAAGAGCGAATCGGTCCCACCGAGTTTACCTGACCAACTCTCTGGTTAGCTAATTACCAAAATCGGTCTCACCGAAAAGAGCGAATCGGTCCCACCGAGTTTACCTGACCAACTCTCTGGTTAGCTAATTACCAAAATCGGTCTCACCAAGTTTGTGTAATCGGTCTCACCAAGATTACGTTATGTCCTAACCCTAACCATATCGGTCCCATCGAGTTGCATGTCGGTCCCACCAAAATCACTAACGGTCACTAGGTTTACTGAATCAGTCCGGCCGAGTTTGTTGATTTGATCCCACCGAGATTGGTAAATTGTGTGTAACGGTTAGATTTTGTGTGGAGGCTATATATACCCCTCCACCTCCTCTTCATTCGTGGAGAGAGCCATCAGAACAAACCTACACTTCCAACTTACCATTTCTGAGAGAGAACTACCTACTCATGTGTTAAGGCCAAGATATTCCATTCGTACCATATGAATCTTGATCTCTAGCCTTCCCCAAGTTTCTTTCCACTCAAATCTTCTTTCCACCAGATCCAAATCCTGTGAGATAGAGTTGAGTGTTGGGGAGACTATCATTTGAAGCACAAGAGCAAGGAGTTCATCATCAACACACCATTTGTTACTTCTTGGAGAGTGGTGTCTCCTAGATTGGCTAGGTATCACTTGGGAGCCTCCGACAAGATTGTGGAGTTGAACCAAGGAGTTTGTAAGGGCAAGGAGATCGCCTACTTCGTGAAGATCTACCGCTAGTGAGGCAAGTCCTTCGTGGGAGACAGCCATGGTGGGATAGACAAGGTTGCTTCTTCATGGACCCTTCTTGGGTGGAGCCCTCCGTGGACTCGCGCAACCGTTACCCTTCGTGGGTTGAAGTCTCCATCAACGTGGATGTATGATAGCACCACCTATCGGAACCACGGCTCAAAAATCACCGTGTCTCCAAATTGCGTTTGAAATCTCCAAACCCTTCCCTTTACATTCTTGCAAGTTGCATGCTTCCGCTGCTCATATACTCTTTGCATGCTTGCTTGAATTGTGTGAAGATTGCTTGACTTGTGCTAAGATAGCTAAAATCTGCCAAAGACTAAAATTGGGAAAAGGTTAAGTTTTTAATTGGTCAAGTAGTCTAATCACCCCCCTCTAGACATACTTCAAGGTCCTACAAATACCGTGTCCACGGTAATGGACGTTCAGACTTATATCCTGATCTTATATAACTAGAAATGGATACTTGAGATATGTGATGGATATGTGGCCCCGAGATGGCTTTCTCGCAGGGAATCGAGGAAGGATCTCTGGGCGTTGATGTTACAACATGCTTGTTAAATATTAAAATGCTACTTTTTACTCTTCTACATGCTGCAAGATGCTTGGAGCTGCGTGAAGATGCTAGTCTTTGATAGGCTAGGCCTTCCCCCTCTATTCTGGCATTCTGCAGTTCAGTCCACATATACAAACCTTCCATTTGATACCAATGCATACTTAGTATAGATCTGATGCTTGCGAGTACTTTGGATGAGTACTCACGGTCGCTTTGCTACCCCTTTTCCCCCTTCTTTCTCATTTCCGGTTGATGCAACCAGATGGTGGATCCCTGGAGCCAGATGCCACCGCCGACGGATACTGCTACATGGAGGCCGTCGAAGACCAGGAGTAGTTAGGAGGTCCCAGGCAGGAGGCCTTGCCTCTTCGATCGCGTTGCTTTTGTGCTAGCCTTCTTAATTAAGGCATCCTTGTTTAACTTATGTCTGTACTAAGATATTGTTGCTTCCGCCGAATCTTGTGTATCGAGCTTGTATTCGAGCCCTCGAGGCCCCTGGCTTGTAATATAAAGCTTGTATTATTTTATTTGTGTCTAGAGTTGTGTTGTGATATCTTCCCGTGAGTCCCTGATCTTGATCGTACACATTTGCGTGTATGATTAGTGTACAATTGAATCGGGGGCGTCACAATGTTCAGAGTTGTACTAACTACCATGGAATTAAGCTGATGAGCCATACAATGAAGCTATGTGAGAGAGTCATTGAGCACCGCTTAAGAAGAATGCCAAGGTGACCAAAAATCAGTTTGGTTGCATGCCTGGGAGGTTGACCATGGAAGCCATTTTCTTGGTACAACAACTTATGGAGAGATATAGGGAGCAAAAGAAGGACTTGCATATGGTGTTCATTGACTTGGAGAAGGCCTATGATAAGATACCGCAGAATGTCATGTGGTGGGACTTGGAGAAACACAAAGTCCCAGCAAAGTACATTACCCTCATCAAGGAAATGTACGATAATATTGTGACAAGTGTTCGAACAAGTGATGTCGACACTGATGACTTCCCGATTAAGATAGGACTGCATCAGGGGTCAGCTTTGAGCCCTTATCTTTTTGCATTGGTGATGGATGAGGTCACAAGGGATATACAAGGAGACATCCCATGGTGTATGCTCTTTGCGGATGATGTGGTGCTAGTTGACGATAATCAAATGGGGGTAAATAGGAAGTTAGAGTTATGGAGACAAACCTTGGAATCGAAAGGGTTTAGACTTAGTAGAACTAAAACCGAGTACATGTTGTGCGGTTTCAGTACTGCTAGGTGTGAGGAGGAGGAGGAGGTTAGCCTTGATGGCTAGGTGGTGCCTCAGAAGGACACCTTTCGGTATTTGGGGTCAATGCTGCAGGAGGATGGGGGTATTGATGAAGATGTGAACCATCGAATCAAAGCCGGATGGATGAAGTGGCGCCAAGCTTCTGGCATTCTCTGTGACAAGAGAGTGCCACAAAAGCTAAAAGGCAAGTTCTACAAGACGGTGGTTCGACACGTAATGTTGTATGGCGCTGAGTGTTGGCTGACTAAAAGGCGACATGTTCAATAGTTAGGCGTGGCGGAGATGTGTATGTTGAGATAAATGTGTGGCCACACGAGGAAGGATCGAGAGTCCGGAATGATGATATACGAGATAGAATTGGGGTAGCACCAATTGAAAAGAAGCTTGTCTAACATCGTCTAAGATGGTTTGAGCATATTCAGCGCAGGCCTCCAGAAACTCCAGTGCATAGCGGACGGCTAAAGCATGCGGAGAATGTCAAAAGAAGGAGGGGTAGACCGAATTTGACATGTGAGGAGTCCGTTAAAAGAGACCTGAAGGATTGGAGTACCACCAAAGAGCTAGCTATGGACAGGGGTGCGTGGAAGCTTGCTATCCATGTGTCAGATCCATGAGTTGGTTGCGAGATCTTATGAGTTTCACCTCTAACCTATCCTAACTTATTTGGGATTAAAGACTTTGTTGTTGTTGGTGGTGGTACCTAAAATTGTTTTACTTTTGGATATCATGATTTATTCATTTTTTGAAATTTTTAGATGTCTTGCTATAATCAGTAGATTCGTTTTTTTAGGGTAGACCGGTAGATGCTTTCTTTTTGAGCAAGTTATTTTAGGGTAAAATCAATCATCACATTCTCCACGCAGTCAGCGCCCCGCGACGTGGTTCGTTTGAAGCCCACCTATCTCCCCGCCGTCCGCTTCGAGCCCACTTTGGCCCAGGATCCTGATCGGGGCCGCCCGCCTGTCGCGCGCCGCTTCCCCTCTTCCCCTCTTCCACCCCATGCCGCCGGCCGCCGCCGTCTCGTAACCCAAACGGACCCATGGCCGCCGCCATCGCCGCCTCGCTTATCCGCCGCACCACCTCATCGCCGTACCGCCGCCTTCTCCTCCCCACCTTCTCCCACCTCCACCGCCCTGCCCCCCAATCTCCATCCCCATGGCTCCCATCCCAACATCGCTTCCTTTCGTCTGACGCACCCGCTGACCCTGATCGGAAGCTGCCGCCGCTGGACCCGAAGCAGCTATGGCGCGAGCTCTCCACCACCGAGCCTGCGACGGGCTCGTCGCGCCTCCCTAAGGCCACGTGGGACGACGTGGTGGCCCTCACCCGCCGCTTCGCCAAGGATCCCGCCATTGCCGACCAGGTCCTCGCGCTCTACATCCCCTCCTCAGAGTTTCCCACGTACGCTCGGCACTTCCGCCACTTCATCCCTTCGCGCCTCTCCCAAGAATCCGCCGAGCGGCTCCTTTCTCTCCCGGGCGAGGACGCGCACGCCCTCCTCCTCCCGGCCTTCGCCGAGTACTGTCTCAACTACCATGCGGATCAGTTGAGGCAGAACAAGTCCGTCATGGCTGCGGCCGACCTCACGGCGCCGCACACCTGGTACCCCTTCGCCCGCGCCATGCGCCGGCGGGTGGTGTACCATTGCGGGCCCACCAACAGCGGCAAGACGCACAACGCACTCGCACGCTTCAGCGCCGCCAAGTCCGGTGTGTACTGCAGCCCGCTCCGGCTCCTCGCCATGGAGGTATTCGATAAGGTCAATGCACTCGGTGTCTACTGCACCCTCCGCACTGGCCAGGAGATAAAGGAAGTTCCCTTCTCCAACCATGTTGCTTGCACTATTGAGATGCTGTCCACGGAGGAGCTCTACGAAGTCGCCGTGGTTGATGAGATACAGATGATGGCTGACCCTGTCAGGGGCTATGCGTGGTCACGTGCTGTTCTTGGGATCAAGGCAGATGAGATACATCTCTGTGGTGACCCTAGTGTGCTCAAGATTGTTAGTAAGGTCTGCGCAGATACTGGAGATGATTTGGAGGTGCATCAGTATGAGCGGTTCAAGCCACTTGTTGTCGAGGCCAAGTCGCTACTTGGAGACCTCAAGAATGTTCGCTCTGGTGATTGCGTTGTTGCGTTCTCACGCAGAGAGATATTTGAGGTGAAGCTGGCAATTGAGAAGTTTACGAAGCACAAGTGTTGCGTCATATATGGAGCTTTGCCACCGGAGACAAGGCGCCAGCAAGCAACATTGTTCAACGAACAGGATAATGAGTATGATGTTCTTGTAGCGAGTGATGCGGTTGGTATGGGTCTGAACCTTAACATTAGGAGGGTTGTGTTCTATAGCTTGTCCAAGTACAACGGGGACAAGATGGTACCTGTTGCTGCTTCACAGGTAAAGCAGATAGCTGGGCGTGCTGGTCGGAGGGGAAGTGTTTATCCAGATGGACTCACAACCACTTTCTTGTTGGATGATTTGGATTATTTAATTCAGTGCCTGCAACAGCCGTTTGAGGAGGCACAAAAAATTGGTCTTTTTCCTTGCTTCGAACAAGTGGAAATGTTTGCCAGTCAGTTCCCCAACCTCACTTTCTCTGACTTGTTGGATAAGTTCCGTGACAATTGCCGCATCGACAAGACATACTTCATGTGCCAGCAGGATAGTATCAAGAAGGTTGCTAATATGCTCGAGAGGGTCCAGGGTCTCTCCCTCAAGGATCGCTACAATTTTTGTTTCGCGCCAGTTAATATAAGGGATCCAAAAGCCATGTACCATCTTTTGAGATTTGCTACTCATTATAGCCAGAGCCGTCGTGTTAGCATTGCGATGGGAATGCCGAAGGGTTCGGCAAGGAATGACACTGAACTGCTGGATCTTGAGACGAAGCACCAGGTCCTGTCGATGTATTTGTGGCTGTCACACCATTTTGAGGAAGATAACTTTCCTCATGTGCAGAAAGCTGAGGAAATGGCAACAAATATTGCTGTTTTGCTTGGCAAGTCACTTGCCAAGGCATCCTGGAAGCCTGAATCAAGACAACAAGCAAAGCAGAGGCGAGAAGAAAAAGAGGAGAGTGACAGCAATGCTGAACAGGTGTCAGATGATGATGCAAAGAATGTTTCCAAAGTTGGTTATGAAAGGACGAGATCGCTTCCTAAAAAATTTCCAAGGTAATATAGCTCTAGCCCGCAGAAGTTGTTTGTGGAGATAATATTTTTTTCTTGTCATGTAGTAGATGTCATTTTTATTTGCTTTTCTTGTATCAAAAAAAAACTTGTCTTTCTGATAAATAGAGGCGAATAATGAAGAATCCCATGCCACCTAATGCAGTTAAGTTATACTATGGAATTTATTCGGCTTCACTTTGGGTCAGAAGAAACATGAGAACACTATGCTTTAATTCCAAGCAACAGCTGGCAAGTGAGTTTGTGAATTCTAGGTATTCCCATTCTTTATTTGTTCAAGTAACTACAATCCCAATGCCAACTTATAATAATTCAAATAATCGCAAACTCAACTTCCAGTTGGCAAAATCAATCTCTTCAAAATGGATTTGAGATAATAGTTTTAAGTTGAATTTATATTGCTTAAAACGTTAAATTGCTCCTGATCTGTATATATATTATCTAATAGTAAACTATCAAATATAACCTGAAGTTCCAAACATGTAAATCTTGGGTTGTTTCTTAGCCAACTTTCTTGTTCGCCGGCATATCACCCCATCCTGATCCTGGTATCCTCTTTGGCTGGATATTATTCTGGTTAGCTTTGTGAATTGCCTGGAGCATGTATTTCTTGAACATTTTTATGATCCTTTCATTTGAAGTTGATTTGGGCATCTTGGCAAAAAGAAAAGTGTTTATTTCTTCAAATACATGAGTTTGCCAGAATTATGTTACCAATAATCAGAATATTTTTCTCGGTATGATTTATGTGACGCTATCTTTCTTTATATGTTTTCCTCGTTTCGAGAATTGAGTTACCGAGCCATAGAGTCAAGATTTGATATACTGCAGCAGGGCTTTTCATCTTGGATGAGTGCTTCTGAAGATTATATTCAGTTACATCGCCTGATCTTTTGAGTTAAACAGAAATTTTCAAACAATTCGTAAAATTGTACTTTCTGATACAATAGTTGATTCGGGCATGTTTGAAAAGTTTGCATAGCAAAACATATTTAACTAAGATAATTCTGGATGTACTTATGATGTATTGTTTCCTCCTGAAGGACAAGACATGGTCAGCCCAGCCATAATTCTTCTTTGAACCTTCTGGCTTGATTGTGGGGTTGGCTATACCCAATTGAGTGCTAGAGAAGAACCTGTTGAGCCAAGTTGCGACGCCTCTTCAACGCCCAAATCTGGTGCTTACCTATAATAGCATGTCACAGCTATTTCTATTCTTCCAGTTTTGGCGTATGCCAGCTACGTGGTGCTGGCATGTTGCGCTGAAGCCAGCCAGAGGTGTGCCATGACATTTGCATCAACTGGCGGCTATTTTATTGGCACCAGAAGAGGTAGCTGCCGAGTAATGATGTTGTGCAATGCTAGATTGGACGCTGAATGAGGATCTTTAAGTTATCAGAAACAAACTAGTTTATCGTTGACATGCTACACCAGTATGCGGGTAATAAGCACACGTGGAGATTTACAAGGCTTTAATTGATTGTTCCTCTAAGTTGTCTTAGATGATTTAGTGTGATTGTCAAACTTGACTGTAATAATATTTAGAGAGGATAGAAGAGATGTATTATATGCCACTTTCGGGATGTTCTCACGTTGGTGCAACTGCACATTGGAGCTTTCTGGGCCCCGCTCTGATGTCAGCTGCCAAGTAGACAAAATGTGTAACTTTATTTCCACAGTGGTTGTCGTGAGTCGATGTTTTGTTTATCTCGATTTGGGATGCGAGTGACGCTCGATCAGATCCATCTTGTTTGTAGATGAGCCCTGTTAGGGTATGAGCATTCTGATCCGTCCAGGATACAGAAGTAGACGAGTGTTTTCTTGACAGAGGCAATAGTACTGGGGAGTACTGAGACATTTGGGACGAAGGAATTTACACGAGTTTTAAAGGATTCTCGTGGAAAAGTTCTTTTGTGTCTTGCATTCAACACTCTTCCAATACCTGCCAATACCTGCACTGCACATCTATATGAAGAAATCTAGTGTCACTGAAGCAAATGAGATGGTTTGTTGTAGAACTGAAAAATACTCCCTCCATCCCATATAGTGTCAAAAACGCTATTATATTACGGGAAGTGGACATTTCAATCAATACAATTTTCTTCTTTCCTGTGTTTCGAAGAGCATTCTATTCGGTGAATGCCCTCTAGCGAGCAATGTTCTTCTATTGCCCCCCTGCTCCTGCTTTAACATCTACAAGCTTTCGCGCCAGCCCGCCGCTTGTCCTCCACTCATGGAGGCCTGGTGTTACAAAGAAAAATGCTAGAGGTTACAAGTCTAAGGGGCCGGAGAGAAATCAGTAGGCACGGACATCAGTATGAAAGGCACTCTCGAATGATATGCCAGATTTTGTTGCTTGGAGCTAGAGCATCTCTAGCACATCCTGCAACCGGGCAGCCCGCAAAACGCGTATAAGGGTGTCCGTAAATCATTTTTAATGTGCGGCGAGTGCTCCGGCGGAACAAATCCCGCAAACAGGCTGTAAAATTTGCATATCATCAAACAAATTACACATTTCAATGATATCAACTGGATGAAATCTTAATATAAATTCAACGTGCAAATATACAAATGGTCTAAAAAGCAAGTCACAAGACAACAATAGTCTTCATTACAAGAAATGTTCAAATTCAAATAATTATTACAACATCAAATTGTTCAAATCTCACACGAATAGAAATGCATATAAATGAGGATCTATCTCCCCCAATAGAGTTGCCACTGATGCTCAATGAGATCATGTTGGAGTTGGTTGTGCGAATCATGGTTCTCGATCTTCCGATAAGCCTCAAGAAATGCAGTGATCTCATCCGCGTCTCTGACAGGCTTCACATAGCTACCAACATTATTATAGTTGTACCCCGAGTCCAAATCCCTCTCATCCTTGATGATCATGTTGTGTAAAATTACACAAGCAGTCATGATGTTTCCGAGGGATTTTTGTTCCAGAAGCGAGCAGGACCTCGAACAATGGCAAACCGAGCTTGCAACACACAAAATGCCCTCTCAATATCCTTTCGGCAAGCTTCTTGTGCTTCAGCGGAAATTTTGTGCTTCTTGATTTTGGGGGTCACTAATGGTCTTTACAAATGTTGACCATGAACGATAAATACTGTCGGCAAGATAGTACCCCATGGTATAGTCATGGCCATTGACGGTATAGTTGCAAGCCGGAGCTTTGCCACTAGCTAGCTGAGCAAATAGATGAGATCGCTGCAAAACGTTGATATCACTGATAAACCCCGGCAAAGCAAAGAAGCAATGCCAAATCCATAGATCATGTGAAGCCACGACTTTAAGCACGATGGTGGGTTTACGTTTGTGGCCGGTGTATTGCCCTGCCCAAATCATCAGGCAGTTCTTCCACCTCCAATGCATGCAATCAATACTACCTAGCATGCCCGGCCATCCCCTTGCTTCATTCATTGCCATGAGCTTCTTTGTGTCTTCTTCGTTTGGAGCTCAAAGGTACTCCAGGCCAAAAACCCGGATCACTGTCTTCGCAAAGACACGAACACATTTGATGGTGGTATCTTTGGCAATGCGAAGATATTCATCTGCGTAGCCTGCGGGAACACCATATCCAATCACTCTCATCGCAGCCGATATTTTTTTGATATGCACTAAAGCCAATCAAATCGGTGGCATTCCTACGCCGAGTGAAGAAACGACAATTTTGCTCGCAAGCCTCAACAATGAAGACGGAAAGTGAGCTACACATTTGATATCGCCTACGAAAGAGGTGAGCCGGATATGTCGGTACCTCGTTGAAGTAGTCTTTCATGAGCATCTTGTCGTCGAGAGCTCGGTTGCGGGGAATACATTGCCGACCAACCGTAGATCCGCGCCGCTTTTTCTTCGGCCCTGCTTCAAATTCGTCGACGAGATGCAACAACACTAGGTTGTCATCATCATCGTCGAGGATCATCTCTTCTATGTATGAATCATTGGATGAAGACGACAAGGACAAACTCCAGTCCATCTAGAAAATGCACACAAAATGGCCATGAACTTCACCCGAACCTTCTCCGGGCCAAATCGAGCACGAACCCGCGGGTGTTGGACATACTGTTGGGGAACGAAGCATGAAAATAAAAAAAAAATCCTAAGAACACCCAAGATCAACCTAGGAGGTGAATAGCTACGAGAGAGGAGTGAGTCTACATACCCTTGTAGACCAAAAGCATTAACGATCTAGAGACCGTGGTTGGCATAGTCGTACTCGCATCCCGATCCAATCCGATCCAAGCACTGCACATGTGACACCTCCGAGTTTAGCACACGTACGGCTCGGTGACGTCTCCTCCTCCTTGATCCAGCAAGTGTGGGAGAAGAGGTAGATGCGATCTGATCCAACATGACGGCATGGTGGTGGTGGTGACAGCGGAACTCTGGCAGGGCTTCGCCAAGCGCTACACTAACGAGAAGTGGAGGGAGAGGGAGAGGGTAGCCGCCGTGGTCAAGGGATGGGCTGCTCCTTGCTCCTCCTCTCTATTTATATAGGGGGGGGGGACATGGCCAGCCCTTGCCCCTCCACCAAGGGATGGGGGTGGCGGCCAAGGAGGGGGTGGAGTGCCCTCCAAGCTAAATGGAGGGCCCTCCCCTTTAGGGTTTTCCACACCAGGCACATGCATGGGCCTTGTAGGGGCTGGTGCCCTGGCCCGTTAAGGATAGAGCGCCCTCCCTACAGCCCATGCTATTGTATGGGACGTGGTGGAACCCTTGGCGGACTTCAGGAACCCTTCAGAACCTTCTGGAAGCTTCCCACTACAATACCGAAAAAATCCGAATTTTTTCCGGAACCCTGATAACAAAATTTTCATATATAAATCTTTACCTCTGGACCATTCCGGAACTCCTCGTGTTGTTCAGGACTCCAAACAACCTCCGGACCCCAATGTTAATATCTCATTACTACCCTAGCGCTACTGAACGTTAAGCGTGCGACCCTTCGGGTTCGAGAATCATGTAGACATGATCGAGACACCTCTCTGGTCAATAACCAATAGCAGCACCTGGATGCCCATATTGGTTCCTACATATTTCACGAAGATCTTTATCGGTTGAACCAAGATGTCGAGGATTCAGTTAATCTCATATGCAATTCCCTTTGTCCGGTGATATGTTACTTGCCCGAGATTCAATCGTCGGTATCTTCATACCTAGTTCAATCTTGTTACCGGCAAGTCTCTTTACTCATTCCGCAATACAAGATCTCGTGACTAAACCCATTAGTCACATGAAGCTTCTTATGATATTGTTTTACCAAGAGGGCTTAAGAGATATCTCACAAATCCTTGTCTCGATCCATGCAACCAAACAGACACCTTTGGAGATACCTGTGGAGCACCTTTATAATCACCCAGTTACGAAGTGACGTTTGATAGCACACAAAGTATTCCTCCAGTATTCGGGAGTGGCATGATCTCATGGTCTAAGGAACTAATACTTGACATGAAGAAGGCTATAGCAAATAACTAAACGATCTGATGCTAAGCTTACGGTTGGGTCTGTCCATCACATCATTCTCCTAATGATGTGGTCCTGTTATAAAATGACAACTTGTTTATATGGTTAGGAAACCTTAACCATCTTTGATTAATGAGCTAGTCTAGTAGATGCTTACTAGGGACACGGTGTAGTTTATGTATTCACACACATGTATTTAAGTTTTCGATCAATATGATTCTAGCATGAATAATAAACATTTATCATGAACGGGAAATATGATAATAACCAATTTATTTTTGCCTCTAGGGCATATTTCCAACACATACCTCGCCCGAAGCAAAGCCGCGCCGTCCCTTTCTTCTCCCTGGCAGCCGAAGCAAAGTTGCATCGCCCCTTTCTTCTTCCCCGCCGGCCGAACCGAAGCCGCATTGTGCTGCCCCTTTCTTCTCCCGACAGGCCGAAGCGAAGCTACGACGCCCTCTTCCTTCGACGCATGCCGCTCACAAGCGCCGGAAGCAACCAGATCTGCAAGCTACAAGCCTGCACACCGAGCTCTGGGGCGAATCCATGGTGTCGGCTGCTACTTGTCAGCTGCGTTGGGATTTTTCCCAAAGAGGAATGGTGAAGCAATATAGTAGCGGTCA